GGCGGTATGTGAATTGGAGTGGGTCCAGGGTGTCTGGGATGATGGTATTGATGTGAGCCATGACCAGCCTTTCAAAGCATTTCATGGCTACATATGGGAGTGCTACAGGGCGATAGTCATTGAGAAATCCAATTAAATTTTATTTGTCACATGCGCCGAATACAACAAGTGTAGACTTTACCGTGAAATGCTTATTTACGCGCCCTTTCCCAAAAATGCAGTTAAAAAGGTAGAAAATTAACAAATAGATCAAAAATAAAATAATAACATAAAATAACACATTTTAGACAGGTTACCTTGGTGTTCTTGGGCTCGGGGACTATGGTGGTCTGCTTGAAACATGTAGGTATTACAGACTGGGTCAGAGAGAGGATGAAAATGTCAGTGAAGACACTTGCCAGCTGGTCAGCGCATGCTCGGAGTACATCTCCTGGTAATCCATCTGGCCTTGTGAATGTTAACCTGTTTAAAGGTCTTGCATAGGCTATGGAGAGCGTGATCACACAGTCCAGAACAGCTGGTGCTCTCATGCATGGTTCAGTGTTGCTTGCCTCGAAGCGAGCATAGAAGGCATTTAGCTCATCTGGTAGGCTCACTTCACTGGGCAGGTCGCTGCTAGGTTTCCCTTGATTGGATCATCTTGAAACTTTCTCTGTGAAGCGAACTTTCTTCTATATAATTGGTTTCTCTCTTCATTGTCAGTATCCTTTTTCAGCATTATAACATCCATAACGGGTGTGGATGTGATGGATATTGAATTATTATATCTTAGCTTCAGAAGCTTGTGCATTCACCACATTGTGTTTGCTTGTTCTGGGATGTAGGCTAGTCTTCAGACTTTTACTGAAGCAATTGTTGATATCTTGAAAAAGTATGTTCTAGAAAGATTATCTTTGAAAAAATATGCTGAAATGCATTTCTCATACATGACATCACTTATTTTTAGATAGAAAGATGAGAAAAGTGCTTATCAACCATCTCTGAATAGTCTTGAAATTTATTTTTCATATGAATACCCCCCAACATATACTGACTTCATCCGGTGTCCAGAAAAGTGAATTGGCAGTAAAGGCACATGTCATTTGCATATTTTCTTATAATACAATCTTATATTTGTGTCTAAATTCAACTGGTAAAAGTAAATTTTTAGATTACATATATACAGTCGTGGTCAAAAGTTTTGAGAATGACACAAATACTAATTTTCACCAAGTCTGGTGCCTCAGTTTTGATGATGGGAATTTGCATATACTCCAGAATGTCATGAAGAGTGATCAGATGAATTGCAATTAATTGCAAAGTCCCTATTTGCCATGAAAATGAACTTAATCCCCCCCAAAAACATTTACACTGCATTTCAGCCCTGTCACAAAAGGACCAGCTGCCATCATGTCAGTGATTCTCTCGTTACCACAGGTGAGTGTGTCTGGAGGCTGGAGATCACTCTGTCATGCTGATTTGAGTTAGAATAACAGACTGGAAGCTTTAGAAGGATGGTGGTGTTTGAAATCATTGTTCTTCCTCTGTTAACCATGGTTACCTGCAAGGAAACATGTGCCGTCATCATTGCTTTGCACAAAAAGGGCTTCACAGGCAAAGATATTGCTGCTAGTAAGATTGCACCTAAATCAACCATTTATCGGATCATCAAGAACTTCAAGGAGAGAGGTTCAATTGTTGTGAAGAAGGCGTCAGGGCGCCCAAGAAAGTCCAGCAAGCGCCAGGACCGTCTCATAAAGTTGATTCAGCTGTGGGATCGGGCACCACCAGTGCATAACTTGCTCAGGAATGGCAGCAGGCAGGTGTGAGTGCATCTGCAAGCACAGTGACGCGAAGACTTTTGGAGGATGGCCTGATGTCAAGAAGGGCAGCAAAGAAGCCACTTCTCTCCAGGAAAAACATCAGGGACAGACTGATATTCTGCAAAAGGTACAGGGATTGGACTGCTGAGGACTGGGGTAAAGTCATTTTCTCTGATGAATCTCCTTTCCGATTGTTTGGGGCATCCGGAAAAAAGCTTGTCCGGAGAAAAGGTGAGCGCTACCATCAGTCCTGTGTCATGCCAACAGTAAATCATCCTGAGACCATTCAAGTGTGGGGTTGCTTCTCAGCCAAGGGAGTGGGCTCACTCACAATTTTGCCTAAGAACACAGCCATGAATAAAGAATGGTACCAACACATCCTCCGAGAGCAACTTCTCCCAACCATCCAAGAACAGTTTGGTGACGACCAATGCCTTTTCCAGCATGATGGAGCACCTTGCCATAAGGCAAAAGTGATAACTAAGTGGCTCGGGGAACAAAACATCAACATTTTGGGTCCATGGCCAGGAAACTCCCCAGACCTTAATCCCATTGAGAACTTTTCGTTGTTCCTCGAGGTGGGTGGACAAACAAAAACCCACAAATTCGGACAAACTCCAAGCATTGATTATGCAAGAATGGGCTGCCATCAGTCAGGATGTGGCCCAGAAGTTAATTGACAGCATGCCAGGGCGGATTGCAGAGGTCTTGAAAAAGAAGGGTCAACACTGCAAATATTCACTCTTTGCATAAACTTAATGTAATTGTCAATAAAAGCCTTTGACACTTATGGAATGCTTGTAATTATACTTCAGTATACCATAGTAACATCTGACAAAAATATCTCATAACACTGAGGCAGCGAACTTTGTGAAGACCAATACTTGTGTCGTTCTCAAAACTTTTGACCACAACTGTACATGCATACATATTTGGATGTGGTGCCTGGCAATGTTCCCTCAAATTTTTTGGGGTACTGAGCAAATTTGAAGTCTTATGAACGGAAACTTGAACATTGTCGGAATTTTGTGCAACTTCCGGCGCGCGCTTATAGTGAACACTGAGGCTGTACCCTTACAGTTTTAGACTATTTGACTATTTGAGCATAAAGTAGCCCTACCAACAAATCCAATGGAGCAAATACCATAACATTTTCACATGGAAATAGCTTTTGATTTGGAAGCCTATATGTGGTATTCAATGCAGACCTACATTGCCTGAGACTTTTAAAAACGTTTTTACATTATGAAGGGCTTGACATTAATTCATGATTTTTTACTTGGTCTGTAACACCATGGGCCACATAGGTGACTATATTGCATTGTATTGTGTTGTATGATGCAAGAAACCATTTTACAAAATAAAATTAATTATTATTACCATACAGAGAATTAAACAATGTAGGCTACCCCTCTGCCTATTGGCTTATTTGCATATTTAATTAAGACATATGCTTTTTATCTGACTGGCTTTTCAAAGACAGCTTGAAATGTAGCCTACATGTTTTGTGCTCTTGTAGGAAGTAGTAACTCCCCATTGCTGACCTATACTTATCTATAACCGGGCTAATAACTCACAAACTAGCAAAGAATTTCAACAAATGTGCTCACGCACAGCTCTGATCTGAACTGATCTGAAAAGCACATTCACTCGTGGGTGATTGAAGGACCGCTCGTGGGGCACCCCCACCAATAGAATTCTACTCCGTAGACTCAATCTTGCAAAGTTAGATTTGTTTTGGTTTGTTGCATTGAAAAGGGCCAGATATAATGTTGATTCGATCACAGAAAAAACGTTGATCTATATAGTGCAAACTAATGGGGAAAACTCAGAATTTCAATGTCTTGCGTCTCTGCACTGCATGGCATTTAGTCTGCGCTGCAGTCCTGGAGGAAGGGTCGCGCACACGTGCACTTTAGAGGGAACATCAGTGCCTGGCCTTGTATACTATTCAGTTTACCTGTAATTATGCAATCCTAAGGAACTATGTCATCTGCTGACATTCCAAATGACAACAAATGTGTCATGATAGATTTTGATCAAGAAATCTTTGAGTTGAAGGTCTATTTCAGACTGTAACATCCATAATGGAGGGTGTAACATCCATATCGGTTGTTTTTCCTCTGTAATGTAATAATGGAAATGACCATCTTTTCAAAATTATCGTTTTTGTTTTCAGCCAAGCCTTTCCATCCGCATGGCAATCCATGTTTTGACTTACAAACTCAGACTTTTGCTAATAAGTTCAGTCTCCCCAAAAAGCTTGTCCATTTCATGTAACATCCATAACCCCAAGCACACATCATAATCCACAAAGAAATGATTAATTGACCATAAAATCAACATTTTGCAATGGCCATCTCAGTCTCCGGACTTGAACCCCATTGAAAACCTGTGGTTTGAATTGAAGAGGACAGTCCATAAGGGCAAATCTGAAGGATATCATGGATCTGTAAAGATTCTGTATGGAGGAATGTGTTCTCTAATCTCATAAGACATTTTAGAAAAAGTCTCAATGCCGTTATCCTCACAATAATTGCATTTTCAGATTTTTTTTTTAGCATGCAATATAGCAAAGTATTTGTATAATTTAATTTATACAGTCTTTTTTGCTAATCTTTATCAAGGGTGCCAATAATTTTGGACCTGACTGAATATATATTTTATTTGATGTTATATTTTCATTATTATTATTTTATTATTATTATTACTTTATTTCTAATTTGTATGTACTTTGAGATCATTCTTGTAATAAAAAAAACATTTCACAAATGTAATAAATGATTATTATGTCTGTACTTGTCAGCACCACCTTGTTTAAAATTCCTGGGGAGAACCCTATTACTAGCAGCACCCAACCCTTGTTGGTGGTAAATCATGGAAAATTAATCATTTGATTTCCCCTTCTGCAAATCAAAAATGTGTTTTTCTGTTCAGCTTTTTGGTCTGTGGGTATGCCGCTAATATTCTCAACACTGGAGCATTTATTAAACTCCCAAAAGTCCTTGGCACTGTAGGCAAATTATTTTTCAATATTGCACACTTAGGGTGACATCTTGCATGAGCAATTGGCGGAAAAAAAAATAACCATGACATTTAAAAGTAACTGGAAGTTGTGAATAACTTATAAGCAGCATTCATTTGAACTTTTACTCTCCCTTTCTCTCTCTCTTCCACACCACCTCTATTTCACCCCAGACTTCACCCTAAGAACTGTCTGGGCGTGCGACAGTTTGCAGAGACCATGATGTGCACAACACTGTACGACGCGGCCAACAGTTTTGTCCACCAGCACTTTGTGGAGGTGTCCGTGTCTGAGGAGTTCCTCAGTCTCAGGCCAGAGGAAATACTGGAGCTGGTTGGCTGTGACGAGCTCAACATCAAAGCGGAGGAGCAGGTCTGTGGCTTTTATTGTCATTAGGGGTTCAAGCAGTGAAACATGATGGAGCAATACCAAGGGATTCGGTATGCACATTTGGAAAGCTCCGCACCCTGTTTTAGATAGTCACATTTTGTTCAAATCCATTCAATTTAAATCCATTGGAAAATAATTTCTACAACTTCTCAAGAACATTTGCCATGATGGATTTTCCATCATTTAATTTAGTGAACAACATTTGAACATTTTAAAATCTGTATATACTATCTATGGACCAAGAGCTTTAAGTTGTATAAAGTTTGTGTCCCAAACAATATGGACGCTATGAACCAATTAACACTAGAACCAGCATTTGATTTTGTAATTAAAAGGAATCTACAATTATGAAAGTATTATTATGAAATACAAAATATATAGTACAGCCAAGATTAAATAGAGAATAGTCTGATGGGTGAGAATATTGTGAATGAAGAGGGTGAAGAAGTGTTGGGGTGGCAGGGTAGCCTAGACTCTAGGCCAGGGATCTCCAACATTTTCTAGCATGAGAGCTACTTTTAAAAAATGAAACATGTTCTGAGCTAAATAATAATAATTTAGCTTTTAAATAGGCAATTCTTCTATTTTCCTCTCCCCTGCAATTCTTCCCCAGGTCCTTGCTATACAATAAATGTGTTTTCTGTCAATATACCTGGAAAGAAAGGGTAAGTAATCAACTCTAATATAAGCCCTATGAAATCTTATTCATTCTTTCCCGAATTCCGTTTTATATAGTATTTTCCCCAAATCCATTTTCTGGGTTTTATTTTTCCAATTATTTATAGGGAAACAAACAAATTGAAAGTTCTGAGACAATGCTAATGCATAAATCACATCAGAATACAATTTTTGAGGTCTGGAATTGCTGGAATTTAATATATTGTGTTAGGTTTGGTTCTTTACCTAACCAGGGGTGGGATAATTTATTTTTTTATTTTTTTATTTCACCTTTATTTAACCAGGTAAGCCAGTTGAGAACAAGTTCTCATTTACATCTGCGACCTGGCCAAGATAAAGCAAAGCAGTGTGATAAAAACAACAACACAGAGTTACATATGGGGTAAAACAAAACATAAAGTCAAAAATACAACAGAAAATATATAAATACAGTGTGTGCAAATGTATCAAGTTATGGAGGTATGGTAATAAATAGGCCATAGTGCAAAATAATTACAATTACTATTAACACTGGAATGATAGATGTGCAAGAGATGATGTGCAAATAGAGATACTGGGGTGCAAATGAGCAAAATAAATAACAATATGGGGATGAGGTAGTTGGGTGGGCTAATTTCAGATGGGCTGTGTACAGGTGCAGTGATCGGTAAGGTGCTCTGACAACTGATGCTTAAAGTTAGTGAGGGAGATATGTGTCTCGACCTTCAGAGATTTTTGCAGTTCGTTCCAGTCATTGGCAGCAGAGAACTGGAAGTAATGGTGGTCAAAGGATGTGTTGGCTTTGGGGATGACCAGTGAGATATACCTGCTGGAGCGCATACTACGGGTGGGTGTTGCTATGGTGACCAATGAGCTAAGATAAGACAGGGATTTGCCTAGAAGTTATTTATAGATGACCTGAAGCCAGTGGGTTTGGCGACAAATATGTAGTGAGGACCAGCCATCAAGAGCGTGCAGGTCACAGTGTTGGGTAGTATATGGGGCTTTGGTGACAAAACGGATGGCACTGTGATAGACTACATCCAATTTGCTGAGTAGAGTGTTGGAGGCTATTTTGTAAATGACATCGCCGAAGTCCAGGATCGGTAGGATAGTCAGTTTTACGAGGGCATGTTTGGCAGCATGAGTGAAGGAGGCTTTGTTGCAAAATACGAAGCCGATTCTAGATTTAACTTTGGATTGGAGATGCTTAATGTGAGTCTGGAAGGAGAGTTTACAGTCTAACCAGACACCTAGGTATTTGTAGTTGTCCACATACTCTAGGTCAGACCCGTCGAGAGTAGTGATTCTAGTCTGGTGGGCGGGTGCCAGCAGCGTTCGATTTGAAGAGCATGCATTTAGTTTTACTAGTGTTTAAGAGCAGTTGGAGGCTATGGACGGAGTGTTGTATGGCATTGAAGCTCGTTTATAATAATGTCAGTATGGCTTTGATTTGGATAGTAGCCAGGAGCTTGCAGTGTCTGATATTTGTTTAGGACAGGTTCCGGTGAAACACACAAAAAAGTATGTACTTTCAGAATTCTTGGGCGAGCTAGTAGTAGCTGGATTTCGACCTGTTGGAGACCCCTGCTCCAGGCTATAACAAATGGCTGAGCCTGCATGACCTGATCAAACCCCCCGTCCCATCCTCCCAGGACGCCTTTTCCTGTGCGCTAAACAACCTTCATACATTTTAATATCCAGTGCCTTCAGAAAGTATTTACACTCCTTGACTTATTCCACATTTTGATGTGTTACAGCCTGAATTTACTGGCCACTGTAAATTTACTGGCCTACACACAATAACCCCATAATGTCAAAGTGGAATTATGTTTACAAATTAATAAAAAAATGAAAAGCTGAAATGTATTGAGTCAATAAGTATTCAACCCCTTTGTTATGGCAAGCCTAAATAAGTTCAGGAATTTTGTATTTTGTATTTATTATGGATCCCCATTAGCTGCTGCCAAAGCAGCAGCTACTCTTCCTGGGGTCCAGCTAAATGAAGTTAGTTATACAATTTTTCAAACATTACAATTCATTCACAGATTTCATAACACACTGTGTGCCCTCAGGCCCCTACTCCACCACTAACACATATCTACAATACAAAATCCATGTGTGCGTATGTTATTGTGTGTGTATGCATGTGTCTGTGCATATGTTTGTGTTGCTTCACAGTCCCCGCTGTTCAATAAGGTGTATTTTTATCTGTTTCTTAAATCTAATTTAACTGCTTGCATCAATAACTTGATGTGGAATAGAGTTCCATGTAGTCATGGCTCTATGTAGTACTGTGCGCCTCCCATAGTCTGTTCTGGACTATAAAGAGACCTCTTGTGGCATGTCTTGTGGGGTATGCATGGGTGTCCGAGCTTGGTGCTTTCAACATGTCAATACCTCATAAATACAAGTAGTGATTAAGTAAATCTCTCCTCAACTTTGAGCAAGGAGAGATTGGCATGCATATTATTAATATTAGCTCTCTGTGTACATCCAAGGGCCAGCCGTGCTGCCCTGTTCTGAGCCAATTGCCCTTTTTGTGGCACCTGACCACACGACTGAACAGTAGTCCAGGTGTGACAAAACTAGGGCCTGTAGGACCTGCCTTGTTGATAGTGCTGTTAAGAAGGTAGAGCAGCACTTTATTATTGACAGACCTCTCCCCATCTTAGCTACTGTTGTATCAATATGTTTTGACCATGACAGTTTACAATCCAGGGTTACTCCAAGCAGTTTAGTCACCTCAACTTGCTCAATTTCCACATTATTTATTGAGGTTTAGGGTTTAGTGAATGATTTGTCCCAAGTACAATGCTTTTTGTTTTAGAAATATTTAGGACTAACTTATTCATTGCCACCCACTCTGAAACTAACTGCAGCTCTTTGTTAAGTGTTGCAGTCATTTCAGTCAATGTAGTATGTGACGTATCTTTACTCGAAACCAGTGGCATGTCATTAGTCAGCTGCCCTGGGGAAAACCTGATTATACCTGGATTATGTTGATTAAAGAACACCCTTTGTGTTCTGTTAGACAGGTAACTCTTTATCCACACTATAGCAGGGGCTGTAAAGCCATAACACATACGTTTTTCCAGCAGCTATGATCGATAATGTCAAAAGCCGCACTGAAGTCTAACAAAACAGCCCCCACAATCTTTTTATACATTTCTCTCAGCCAATCAGTCATTTGTGTAAGTGCTGTGCTTGTTGAATGTCCTTCCCTATAAGCATGCTGAAAGTATGTTGTCAATTTGTTTACTGTAAAATAGCATTGTATCTGGTCAAACACAATTATTTCCAAAACTTTACTATTGGTTGGTAACAGGCTGATTGGTCGGCTATTTGAGCCAGTAAAGGGGGCTTTAATATTCTTAGGTAGCGGAATGACTTTTGCTTCCCTCCAGGCCTAGGGGCACACACTTTCTAGTAGGCTTAAATTGAAAATGTGGCAATATCGTCCGGTATTATCCTCAGTAGTTTTCCATCCAAGTTGTCAGACCCTGGTGGCTTGTCATTGTTGATAGACCACAATCATTTTTTAACATCTTCCACACTCACTTTTACGGAATTCAAAATTACAATGCTTGTCTTTCATAATTTGGTCAGATATACTTGGATGTGTAGCGTAAGCGTTTATTGCTGGCATGTCATGCCTAAATTTGCTAATCTTGCCAATGAAAAAAATCATTAAAGTAGTTGGCAATATCAGTCGATTTTGTGATGAATGAGCCATCGGATTCAATGAATGATGGAGCTGAGTTTGCCTTTTTCCCCAAAACTTCATTTAAGACGCTCAAAAGCTTTTAGTGTAGTTTCTTCAATTCCTCATCAATCCACAGGGATTTAACAGTTTTTACAGTCATTTTCTTAATGGGTGCATGCTTATTAGTAACTGGAATAAGCAATTTCATAAATGTGTCAAGTGCAGCATCTGTTTGCTCCTCAGTACACACCACGGACCAACAAATATTCTTTACATCAACAACATAGGAATCACTACAAAACGTATTGTATGACCTCTTATACACTATATTAGGCCCAGCCTTTGGAACTTTGGTTTTCCTAGATATGGCTACTATATTGTTATCACTACATCTGATGGATTTGGATACTACTTTAAAGTGAATTTCTGCAGCATTAGTAAAGATGTGATCAATATGTTAATAATTTAATCCATGTGCTGTTTGTAACTACCCTGGTAGGTTGACTGATAACCTGAACCAGGTTACAGGAACTGGTTACAGTTTGAAGCTTTTTCTTGAGTTGGCAGCTTGATGAAAGCCAGTCAATATTTAAATCACCCAGAAAATGTACCTCTCTGTTGATATCACATAGATTATCAAGCATTTCACATGTTATCCATATACTGACTGGTAGCACTTGGTGGTCTATAGCAGCTTCCCACAATAATGGGCTTTAGGTGAGGCAGATGAACCTGTAGCCATATTACTTCAACAGTATTTTCCATGAGATCCTCTCAAAGCTTTACAGGAATGTGGTTCTGAATATAAACAGCAACACCTCCACCATTAGCATTTCTGTAAATGGTTTCACCTTGTATTGCTACCACTGTATCATCAAAGGTATTATCTAAGTGAGTTTCAGAGATAGTCAGAATATTAATGTCGTCTGTTACTAGCAAATTATTGATTTCATGAACCTTGTTTCTTAAGCTCCGTCAGAATAATAGTAGAGAGAATGATTTATTTCAGCTTTTATTTCTTTCATCACATTCCCAGTAGGTCAGAAGTTTACATACACTCAATTAGTATTTGGTAGCATTGCCTTTACATTGGTTAACTTGGGTCAAACGTTTCGGGTAGCCTTCCACAAGCTTCCCACAATAAGTTGGGTGAATTTTGGCCCATTCCTCCTGACAGAGCTGGTGTAACTGAGTCAGGTTTGTAGGCCTCCTTGCTCACACACGCCTTTTCAGTTCTGCCCACACATTTTCTATAGGATTGAGGTCAGGGCTTTGTGATGGCCACTCCAATACCTTGACTTTGTTGTCCTTAAGCCATTTTGCCACAACTTTGGAAGTATGCTTGGGGTCATTGTCCTATTGGAAGACCCATTTGCGACCAAGCTTTAACTTCCTGACTGATGTCTTGAGATGTTGCTTCAATATATCCACATAATTTTCCTTCCTCATGATGCCATCTATTTTGTGAAGTGCACCAGTCCCTCCTGCAGCAAAGCACCCCCACAGCATGATGCTGCCACCCCGTGCTTCACGGTTGGGATGGTGTTCTTCGGCTTGCAAGCAACCCCCTTTTCCCTCCAAACACAACGATGGTCATTATGGCCAAACAGTTCTATTTTTGTTTCATCAGACTAGAGGACATTTCTCCAAAAAGTACGATCTTTGTCCCCATGTGCAGTTACAAACCGTAGTCTGGCTTTTTTATGCCGGTTTTGGAGCAGTGGCTTCTTCCTTGCTGGGCGGCCTTTCAGGTTATGTCGATATAGGACTTGTTTTACTGTGGATATAGATACTTTTGTACCTGTTTCCTTCAGCATCTTCTCAAGGTCCTTTGCTGTTGTTCTGGGATTGATTTGCACTTTTCGCACCAAAGTATGTTAATCTCTAGGAGACAGAATGCGGCTCCTTCCTGAGCGGTATGACGGCTGCTTGGTCCCATGGTGTTTATACTTGCGTACTATTGTTTGTACAGATGAACGTGGTACCTTCAGGGTTTTGGAAATTGCTACCAAGGATGAACCAGACTTGTGGAGGTCTACAATTGTTTTTCTGAGGTCTTGGCTGATTTCTTTTGATTATCCCATGATGTCAAGCAAAGAGGCACTGAGTTTGATGGTAGGCCTTGAAATACATCCACAGGTACACTGCCAATTGACTCAAATGATGTCAATTAGCCTATCAGAAGCTTCTAAAGCCATGATGTCATTTTCTGGAGTTTAAAGGCACAGTCAACTTAGTGTTTGTAAACTTCTGACCCACTGGAATTGTGATCCAGTGAATTATAAGTTAAATAATCTGTCTGTAAACAATTGTTGGAAAAATTACTTGTGTCATGCACAAAGTAGATGTCCTAACCGACTTGCCAAAACTATAATTTGTTAACAAGAAATTTGTGGAGTGGTTGAAAAACAAGTTTTAATGACTCCAACCTAAGTGTATGTAAACTTCTGACTTCAACTGTAAATACTTCAATCAAGGTGGTAGATAAAAAAATGAAAAAACACTTGTAAATTAACAATCACATTCCTCTGTAAAGAGGTCCTCCACCAACTATCTGAACTGCCCGAAAGGCACCAATGCGTCCAACTGTAGGGTATTCTGAAGATTGTTCCGTAAGTGAGGTGCGAAGAAACAAAAAAACCATTCCTGTGAGCAGGTATTGTATTTCTTACTTCTATAGGTTAGTAATGATGTAAAGTAATGCAGCAGTTTTTGCGCAACAGCTTTATAAATGATCAGAATGCAATGTTTCGACCCACGCGATGCCAATTAGGGCCAGCCCACTTTCTGATAGAGAATGCAGTCATGAGTGCAAAATCGCTCGCCTGTGATAAAACAGTGCGTGCTGTGGTAAACGGCATCTAACATGACCGGATTTGAATCCCTAAGCTTTTTCCTAATCCCTCTGACATTCTTTGTCCCCTCATTCTAGGTGTTTGAAGCAGTTCTTGCGTGGGTGCGGCATGAACGTGAGGAGCGGGAACCTCGGCTCCCCGAATTGCTCTCCAAGACCCGTCTGCCCCTTTGTCGACCCCAGTTCTTGGCAGACCGCGTTCAACAGGACGAGCTGGTGCGCTTTTGCCACAAATGCAGGTGACTAACGCTATTTGTTGCATCTATTTTCATTTTCTTTAATGTTTTAATGTATTTTTGCTTTTAACAGAGCCTTCATAAAGTATTCACACCCCTTGACTTTTTTCCACGTTTTGTTGTGCTACAGCCTGAATTGAAAATATATTACAATAAAAAAATTGTCACTGGCCTACAGACAAATACCTTATAATGTCAAAGTGGAATTGTTTTTCGAAATTTTTACAAATTAATTAAAAATGAAAAACTGAAATGTCTTGAGTCAATAAGTATTCAACCCCTTTGTTATGGCAAGCCTGAATAAGTTCAGGAGTAAACATTTGCTTAAGATGTCACTTACTCTGTGTGCAATAATAGTGTTTAATATGATTTTTGAATGACTACCTCATCTCTGTACCCCACACAAACAATTATCTGTAAGGTCCCTCAGTCGAGCAGTGAATTTTAAACACAGATTCAACCACAAAGACCAGGGAGGTTTTCCAAAGCCTCGCAAAGAAGGGCACCTATTGGTAGATGGGTTAAAAAAAAAAAAGCAGACATTGAATATCCCTTTGAGCATGGTGAAGTTATTAATTACACTTTGGATGGTGTATCAATACATCCAGTCACTACAAAGATACAGGCGTCCTTCCTAACTCAGTTGGCGGAGAGGAGGGAAACCGCTCAGGGATTTCAAAAGGCCAATGGTGACTTTTAAACAGTTACAGAGTTTAATGGCTGTGATTGGAGAACACTGAGGAAGGATCAACAACATTGTAGTTACTACACAATACTAACCTAATTGACAGAGTGAAAAGAAGGAAGCCTGTACAGAATACAAATATTCCACAACATGCATCCTGTTTGCAAAAAGACAGTGAATGTTCCTGAGTGTCCAAGGTACAGTTTTGACTTAAATATGCTTGAAAATCTATGGCAAGACTTGAAAAGGGTTGTCTAGCAATGACCAACAAGCAATTTGACAGATCTTGAAGATTTAAAAAAATCCAGCTGTGCAAAGCACTTACAGACTTACCCAGAAAGACTCATAGCTATGATCACTGCCAAATGTAATTCTAACATGTATTGACTCAGGGTTTCGAATACTTATTTAAATTAGACATTTCTGTATTTCATTTTCAATAAATGTGCATCAATTTCTAAAAACATGTTTTCACTTTAAATCAATTTAATATATTTTTAATTCAGGCTGTAACAAAACAGAATGTGGAATAAGTCGAGGGGTATGTATACTTTCTGAAGGTACTGTACTTGCAGAACCATTTTTATTTTTGTAAATGTATCTTTAATAAAGACATGGCATGGACAAAATGAATGGCACCCCGGAGCTAGTACTTGTTTGCACAGCCTTTGGCCAAGATAACTGCCGACAAATCCTTCAATGAACTTGCTGCACCTTCTTACTGGCAATTTTGCCCACTCTTTAGCAGCACACTGCTCTAATTCTTCAATGTTTGAAGGGTGCCCTCCACCAACGGCTGTTTCCAGCTCTTGCCATAGTTATGGATGTGATTCAGATCTAGACGCTTCGCTGGCCCCTCCAGAAAAGTCCAGCATTTCTTCTTGAACCATTCTAGGTTGCTTTTTATGTTTGGGGTTGTTATCCTGCTGGAAGACTCCCAACCTTCAACAGAGACACAGTTTTTGGACACTGGGTTGAACATTGCACTTCAAAACACCTTGATAATCTGCTGATTTCATGATGTCTTGCACACCTTCAAGGCCCCCAGTAGCAGAGGCAGCAAAGCAACCCCACAGCATTATCGAACCTCCCCATGTTTGATTGTAGGGTGGGTGGTTTTTTATTTGAATGTTTCATTTCGTCGTTGGTAAGCAGGAAGACCGCATAGATGGCAGCCTTGGATAACATTTGTACATTTAGTCATTATTCACATAAAAAATAAAAATATTAAACAAGTGTTAGATTTAGGAAGCTGATTACGAAAAGATTACATTAATCTAGAAATGTTGGACTCGTAGAATGGTAGATTTGAGGATAAATCAGTCCGATTCATTTAATGCTTTGATTTGAATTCGCTAAACAATGACAACTTGCATTCAGTATTCAAGAGGATTCCTAAACAGTCTCCAGCAGATCAAGACTACCCTGAGTAAGCAGCTTGAAAATAGACTGATTCAACAAGGAATACATAGAAAATTCCATAGACGGAGAGGGTGCCGGAAAGGTAGAAAACGCATTCACTGGATAGACTATTACCCACGACGCAAGAAGGAAACAGATGAAACAAACTAATACTGTTTCCCGTAGGATTTTTTCAGCAGCGGTGGCAAAGTTAGGGTGCGGGGTTAGTGGGCATGGCCAATGGCGTGGTTTAAAAATATGTAGCTCCATTAACTTTTCTACATACTTTATATCTGGTTTTTACATTTTATATTGTTTTACATTGACATTTTAGTCATTTAGCAGATGCTCTTATCCAGAACGACTTACAGATAGTGAGTACATACATTATTATTATTGTTTTTATTAAATGTTTTTCATTTCATACTGACCCCCCCGTGGGAATCGAACCCACAACCCAGGCGTTGCAAATGCCATGCTCTACCAACTGAGCTACATCCCTGCCGGCCATTCCCTCCCATACCCTGGACGACGCTGGGCCAATTGTGCGCTGCCCCATGGGTCTCCCGGTCACGGCCGGCTACGACAGAGCTTGGATTTGAACCAGGATCTCTAGTGGCACAGCTAGCACTGCGATGCAGTGCCTTAGACCACCGCGCCACTTGGGAGGCCGATATATATATATATATATATATATATATATATATATATATATATATATACACACACATACATATACACATACATATACAGTGGGGAGAACAAGTATTTGATACACTGCCGATTTTGCAGGTTTTCCTACTTACAAAGCATGTAGAGGTCTGTAATTTTTATCATAGGTACACTTCAACTGTGAGAGACGGAATCTAAAACAAAAATCCAGAAAATCACATTGTATGATTTTTAAGTAATTAATTAGCATTTTATTGCATGACATAAGTATTTGATACATCAGAAAAGCAGAACTTAATATTTGGTACAGAAACCTTTGTTTGCAATTACAGAGATCATACGTTTCCTGTAGGTTTTGACCAGATTTGCACACACTGCAGCAGGGATTTTGGCCCACTCCTCCATACAGACTGTCTCCAGATCCTTCAGGTTTCGGGGCTGTCGCTGGGCAATACGGACTTTCAGCTCCCTCCAAAGATGTTCTATTGGGTTCAGGTCTGGAGACTGGCTAGGCCACTCCAGGACCTGGAGATGCTTCTTACGGAGCCACACCTTAGTTGCCCTGGCTGTGTGTTTCGGGTCGTTGTCATGCTGGAAGACCCAGCCACGACCCATCTTCAATTACTGAGCGAAGGATGTTGTTTGCCAAGATCTCGCGATACATGGCCCCATCCATCCATCCTCCCCTCAATACGGTGCAGTCGTCCTGTCCCCTTTGCAGAAAAGCATCCCCAAAGAATGATGTTTCCACCTCCATGCTTCATGGTTGGGATGGTGTTCTTGGGGTTGTACTCATCCTCCTTCTTCCTCCAAACACGGCGAGTGGAGTTTAGACCAAAAAGCTCTATTTTTGTCTCATCAGACCACATGACCTTCTCCCATTCCTCCTCTGGATAATCCAGATGGTCATTGGCAAACTTCAGACAGGCCTGGACATGCGCTGGCTTGAGCAGGGGGACCTTGCGTGCACTGCAGGATTTTAATCCATGACGGCGTAGTGTGTTACTAATGGTTTTCTTTGAGACTGTGGTCCCAGCTCTCTTCAGGTCATTGACCAGGTCCTGCCGTGTAGTTCTGGGCTGATCCCTCACCTTCCTCATGATCATTGATGCCCCACGAGGTGAGATCTTGCATGGAGCCCCAGACCGAGAGTGATTGACCGTCATCTTGAACTTCATCCATTTTCTAATAATTGCGCCAACAGTTGTTGCCTTCTCACCAAGCTGCTTGCCTATTGTCCTGTAGCCCATCCCAGCCTTTTGCAGGTCTACAATTTTATCCCTGATGTCCTTACACAGCTCTCTGGTCTTGGCCATTGTGGAGAGGTTGGAGTCTGTTTGATTGAGTGTGTGGACAGGTGTATTTTATACAGGTAACGAGTTCAAACAGGTGCAGTTAATACAGGTAATGAGTGGAGAACTGGAGGGCTTCTTAAAGAAAAACTAACAGGTCTGTGAGAGCCGGAATTCTTACTGGTTGGTAGGTGATCAAATACTTATGTCATGCAATAAAATGCAAATTAATTACTTAAAAATCATACAATGTGATTTTCTGGATTTTTGTTTTAGATTCCGTCTCTCACAGTTGAAGTGTACCTATGATAAAAATTACAGACCTCTACATGCTTTGTAAGTAGGAAAACCTGCAAAATCGGCAGTGTATCAAATACGTGTTCTCCCCACTGTATATGTGTGTGTGTATATATATATATATATATATATATATATATATATATATATATATATATATATATATATACATACACACACACACACACACACACACACACACACACACACACACACACACACACACACACACACACACACACTGCTCAAAAAAATTAAGGGAACACTTAAACAACACAATGTACCTCCAAGTCAATCACACTTCTGTGAAATCAAACTGTCCACTTAGGAAGCAACACTGATTGACAATAAATTTCACATGCTGTTGTGCAAATGGAATAGACAACAGGTGGAAATTATAGGCAGTTAGCAAGACACCCCCAATAAAGGACTGGTTTTGCAGTTGTTGACCACAGACCACTTCTCAGTTCCTATGCTTCCTGGCTGATGTTTTGGTCACTTTTGAATGCTGGCGGCGCTTTCACTCTAGTGGTAGCATGAGACGGAGTCTACAACCCACACAAGTGGCTCAGGTAGTGCAGCTCATCCAGGATGGCACATCAATGCGAGCTGTGGCAAGACGGTTTGCTGTGTCTGTCAGCGTAGTGTCCAGAGCATGGAGGCGCTACCAGGAGACAGGCCAGTACATCAGGAGACATGGAGGAGGCCGTAGGAGGGCAACAACCCAGCAGCAGGACTGCTACCTCCGCCTTTGTGCAAGGAGGAGTAGGAGGAGCACTGCCAGAGCCCTGCAAAATGACCTCCAGCAGGCCACAAATGTGCATGTGTATGCTCAAACGGTCAGAAACAGACTCCATGAGGGTGGTATGAGGGCCCGACGTCCACAGGTGGGGATTGTGCTTACAGCCCAACACCGTGCAGGACGTTTGGCATTTGCCAGAGAACACCAAAATTGGCAAATTCGCCACTGGCGCCCTGTACTCTTCACAGATGAAAGCAGGTTCACACTGAGCACATGTGACAGACGTGACAGAGTCTGGAGACACCATGGAGAACGTTCTGCTGCCTGCAACATCCTCCAGCATGACCGGTTTGGCGGTGGGTCAGTCATGGTGTGGGGTGGCATTTCTTTGGGGGGCCGCACAGCCCTCCATGTGCTCGCCAGAGGTAGCCTGACTGCCATTAGGTACCGAGATGAGATCCTCAGACCCCTTGTGAGACCATATGCTGGTGCGGTTGGCCCTGGGTTCCTCCTAATGCAAGACAATGCTAGACCTCATGTGGCTGGAGTGTGTCAGCAGTTCCTGCAAGAGGAAGGCATTGATGCTATGGACCGCCCGTTCCCCAGACCTGAATCCAATTGAGCACATCTGGGACATCATGTCTCGCACCATCCACAGACTGTCCAGGAGTTGGCGGATGCTTTAGTCCAGGTCTGGGAGGAGATCCCTCAGGAGACCATCCGCCACCTCATCAGGAGCATGCCCAGGCGTTGTAGGGAGGTCATACAGGCATGTGGAGGCCACACACACTACTGAGCCTCATTTTGACTTGTTTTAAGGACATTACATCAAAGTCGGATCAGCCTGTAGTGTGGTTTTCCACTTTAATTTTGAGGATGACTCCAAATCCAGACCTCCATGGGTTGATACATTTGATTTCCATTGATAATTTTTGTGTGATATTGTTGTCAGCACATTCAACTATGTAAAGAAAAAAGTATTTAATAAGATTATTTCATTCATTCAGATCTAGGATGTGTTATTTTAGTGTTCCCTTTATTTTTTTTGAGCAGTATATATATATATGGCACACTCTGAGGAACAAAACCCAGAGAGAGATCAAGGTAGCAAGATAAACATTGTACCACAACAAAATTCAGAAAAGCAAGAGGGAGAACCCAGCCACGTGATACCATCAAATTAAATCTCTGACCAGCAGTAAAAAGACAATCTCCATCAAAGTTGAGAGGCTCGACCCAGACAACCATACTTCCATTGCCAATACTATAAATGACACGTTTTTTTCATCTGTCACCACATCATTACCACAGCTAAACCTATCTGCATTCTTGCCAGCTATTCCACTGTTGAACCTTGGGAAATGCATAGGAGACTACGCTCCGTTCCAACTAGAATAAAAACAATTTAACCAGGTGAAACCATTGAGAACATGGTCTCATTTACAAGGGTGTTCTGGGAACAATATATCAACATGATCAGTCTCAACACAACACTATAAATGTACAATTACACATTGCAACAAATCAAATTCAAAAGTGACAGATACAATAACACATCAATCAAAACAAGTGCAGTTCTCCTTCACAACATTCCTCATCAAAGTCCCGAACTGACCCTTCCAGGCCAGAGAGTCAAGCCTCAAAGTGGCCTGCAGGTCATTCCATGCTCCATGGGCACAATAACTAAAAACAATCTTCCCAGACTCTGTGGAGACTTGCGGAACCTCTAGAACCAGCTGGTCATGAGAGTGAGTATGAGAGTGGCTTGATTTCCAATTAATAAGTAAGGTGAGGTAGTATGGGAGTTTCTGGAGAACTGCTTTATGTACAAATAGCAGCCAATATTGGGCCCTTCTGGTAGTCAGAGACTCTCAGCCAACCAAACTATATAAAAGGCAATGATGTGTACGAAAATTGTCTCCATTGATAAAATGCAGGGCTGAGTGATAGACTGAATCTAAAGGTTTTAAAACAGAGACTGCTGCCTGCATGTAGATTATATCACCATAGTCAAGTACTGGGAAGAACGATGCTTGAACAAGGCAGGATTTATTTCTATAAAGGAAACAGATCTTAATTCTCAGCTTCTTTGTTAGTTTTTCAATGCATGTTTTAAAAGACAGATTATTGTCAATCCAAATACCTAAATACTTATGAGGGACTTGCTCAATTTGGGCTCTCTTCAAGGTGCAGATACACAGATCTTTAGGGTCAATTTTACGAGACATGGAGAACAACAAACTTGGTTTGATTAACATTTAGCACTACTTTAAGATCGGTGAGCAATTCTCGAATTGAATCAAAGCCAAGCTGAAGGTCGTTAATGGCCTGCTGCCCTGAGGGGTCACGGTAATAATGTGTCATCCACATAGAGATGTAGGCCCCAGTTATTATTATTATTATTCAGGGATTAACCAACAACAAACCAAACCTCCTTTGGTTCACTCATCCCCATTGCGCCGGCTGGCGCATAGGGCAGCAACAAAGGCAGTAAATTTCTGCCTGTCTCTGGCCATCTTCTCCACCGTGCCCCAGCTCTGCTGTTGTTGGAGCTCAGTCTCGATTGTTCTCCGCCACGTTGTGTTGGGCCTCCCCCTCTTACGTCTGCCCTCTGGAATTCTAAGGACAGCTATTGTTGGGATGGAGTCTGTACTCTTTCTCAGGACTTGTCCTATCCAGCTGCGTCTCTTGAGTATGGCACCATGGCTTCCTGCTTCGTTTGTCTGAGGTTGGTGTTTGATATTGTGTTTAGCCAGAAGATGTGCATGATTCTCCAGAGACAAGTTGTGTGGAAAGTAGATACTTTATCCAGGTCTGCTTCTGTCATTTTCCAGCATTCCGCACCATAAAGGAGTGTTTCCAGTACACAGCTCTGGTATATTTACAGTTTTTTGTTAGTGCTATATTGTCCGGATTTCCAGACTTTATTGAACTTCGTAAAGGTTGCTCTTGCTTTATTGATTTTGGTTCAGATGTTTCTGCTGGTGCCTCCATCATGGAATATGATGCTCCCAAGGTAAGTAAAACTTCTGGTTAACCAGGTCTTGTTCCTTAATTCTGACTGCTTTTGCTGTGTTGATGTTGATGGGCATGACCTTTGTCTTGCTGCAGTTGATAACCAGGCCGACTTGCTGGCCAAAATAATAGGAGTCCATCAGTTTTGTCTTGTAGATTTTGGTGTGTGTGTGATAAAGAGCCAGGTCATTGGCGAAGTCGCTCTTGCCTGATCTTCTGTATATTTGGCCGCAACTGTATATCTGTATCTAAAATGGTTATTGAGAAATAGTTAATTTAGGTTTGGATAAATGTATATCTCTGCTACTTTTGGAGGCCAAGTAGCTCTCATGTAATATTACTGTCATACATTGCCAACCTTTTGAGTTGTGTGTTCCTTCCAACAGGGATCTTGTTGATGAAGCGAAGGATTTCCACCTCATGCCAGAGCGCCGTCCTCACCTGCCTGCTTTTAAGACTCGACAAAGATGCTGTACTTCAATCGCAGGGCTAATATATGCAGTCGGTGGACTAAATAGTGCAGGTACACTTTTAACATCACCTGTAGTTGTCCCAATGGTTTAAAAATGTTGGTACACTTCGACAACCTTTTCCACCTCATATCCATTATCTCCAGCACAATATCGGTGTCAACATATGCGAAAATGGTCGTCTTTCCATTCAGTAGTTGAAAAGATAAAAGATAAAATAGCTGTCCTCCAGCTACACCATGGTGCTACACTAGAGGGTGCTGTTGAGGCTACTGTAGACCATTGCAAAACAGTGTGTTTTAATCAGGTATTTGGTGACTTGAATATATTTAGTATAGTTTTATCTAAAAAGAATAACTTTTTAAATGTTTCATTATTTGACATTTTCCTGAAATTCACTGAAGAGCCTCCAATGGTTCATGTGTTATGCTCAACGAGCTGTTTTCCACCAGAAAATTGCCAAAAAGAGTAGAGCCAGCTCAACTGCTTTTACACTATGATTTGACTATTATATGTTTTTTTTGTTTTATTTTTTTTAAGTCATTTAGCAGACGCTCTTATCCAGAGCGACTTACAGTTAGTGAGTGCATACATCATTTTTAGTTATTTTTTTCATACTGGCCCCCTGTGGGAATCAAACCCACAACCCTGGCGTTGCAAACATCATGCTCTACCAACTAAGCTACATCCCTGCCGGCCATTCCCTCCCCTACCCTAGGCGACGCTGGGCCAATTGTGCGCCGCCCCATGAGTCTCCCGGTCACGGCCAGCTACGACAGAGCCTGGATTCGAACCAGGATCTCTAGTGGCACAGCTAGCACTGCGCCACTCGGGTTCCAGGTTCAATGTTTCTTTTGAAAAAAATAATTTAAAAAGGAATAGTTTCACCATAATTAAAATAGAGTTCAGTTCACGTAACAGGGTTGACCTTAAAATGAGGGACAGACGTAAATTAATCACTAATCACATGCAGGGTTGCAAAACTACCGGTAATTTATCAATGTTACCGGAAATCTTCTGTAATTTGGGTAAACAGGTAATCTATGGTAATTTGGGTAATTTATACTTGAATAACTTAATATTTTTTATTCATATACAGTGGGGAGAATAAGTATTTGATACACTGCCAATTGTGCAGGTTTTCCTACTTACAAAGCATCTAGAGGTCTGTAATTTTTATCATACACTTCAACTGTGAGAGACGGAATCTAAAACAAAAATCCAGAAAATCACATTGTATGATTTTTAAGTAATTAATTTGCATTTTATTGCATGACATAAGTATTTGATCACCTACCAACCAGTAAGAATTCCGGCTCTCAAAGACCTGTTAGTTTTTCTTTAAGAAACCCTCCTGTTCTCCACTTATTACCTGTATTAACTGCACCTGTTTGAACTCGTTACCTGTATAAAAGACACCTGTCCACACACTCAATCAAACAGACTCCATCTTCTCCACAATGGCCAAGACCAGAGAGATGTGTAAGGACATCAGGGATAAAATTGTAGACCTGCACAAGGCTGGGATGGGCTACAGGACAATAGACAAGCAGCTTGGTGAGAAGGCAACAACTGTTGGCGCAATTATTAGAAAATGGAAGAAGTTCAAGATGACGGTCAATCTCCCTCGGTCTGGGGCTCCATGCAAGATCTCACCTCGTGGGGCATCAATGATCATGAGGAAGGTGAGGGATCAGCCCAGAACTACACGGCAGGACCTGGTCAATGACCTGAAGAGAGCTGGGACCACAGTCTCAAAGAAAACCATTAGTAACACACTACGCCGTCATGGATTAAAATCCTGTAGCACACGCAATGTCCCCTTGCTCAAGCCAGCGCATGTCCAGGCCCATCTGAAGTTTGCCAATGACCATCTGGATGATCCAGAGGAGGAATGGGAGAAGGTCATGTGGTCTGATGAGACAAAAATATAGCTTTTTGGTCTAAACTCCACTCGCCATGTTTGGAGGAAGAAGGATGAGTACAACCCCAAGAAAACATTACATTACATTTTAGTCACCATCCCAACCGTGAAGCATGGAGGTGGAAACATCATTCTTTGGGGATGCTTTTCTGCAAAAGGGACAGGACGACTGCACCGTATTGAGGGTAGGATGGATGGGGCCATATATCGAGAGATCTTGGCCAACAACCTACTTCCCTCAGTAAGAGCATTGAAGATGGGTCGTGGCTGGGTCTTCCAGCATGACAATGACCCGAAACACACAGCCAGGGCAACTAAGGAGTGGCTCCGTAAGAAGCATCTCAAGGTCCTGGAGTGGCCTAGCCAGTCTCCAGACCTGAACCCAATAGAAATCTTTGGAGGGAGCTGAAAGTCTGTATTGCCCAGCGACAGCCCCGAAACCTGAAGGATCTGGAGAAGGTCTGTATGGAGGAGTGGGCCAAAATCCCTGCTGCAGTGTGTGCAAACCTGGTCAAGACCTACAGGAAACGTACTATCTCTGTAATTGCAAACACAGGTTTCTGTACCAAATATTAAGTTCTGCTTTTCTGATGTATAAAATGCAAATTAATTACTTAAAAATAATACAATGTGATTTTCCGGATTTTTGTTTTAGATTCCGTCTCTCACAGTTGAAGTGTACCTATGATAAAAATTACAGACCTCTACATGCTTTGTAAGTAGGAAAACCTGCAAAATCGGCAGTGTATCAAATACTTGTTCTCCCCACTGTGTGTATGTGTATATATATATATATATATATATATATATATATATATATATATATATATATATATATATATACACTGCTCAAAAAAATTAAGAGAACACTTAAACAACACAATGTAACTCCAAGTCAATCACACTTCTGTGAAATCAAACTGTCCACTTAGGAAGCAACACTGATTGACCTATAAAATCCACATGCTGTTGTGCAAATGGAATAGACAACAGGTGGAAATTATAGGCAGTTAGCAAGACACCCCCAATAAAGGACTGGTTTTGCAGTTGTTGACCACAGACCACTTCTCAGTTCCTATGCTTCCTGGCTGATGTTTTGGTCACTTTTGAATGCTGGCGGCGCTTTCACTCTAGTGGTAGCATGAGACGGAGTCTACAACCCACACAAGTGGCTCAGGTAGTGTGATTTTTTTAAATATACAGTACCAGTCAAAAGTTTGGACACACCTACTCAAGGGTTTTTCTTTATTTATTTTCTACATTGTAGAATAATAGTGAAGACATCAAAACTATGAAATATCACATATGGAATCATGTAGTAACCAAAAAAGTGTTAAACAAATCAAAAAATATATTTTATATTTGAGATTCTTCAAATAGCCACCCTGTGCCTTGATGACAGCTTTGCACACTCTTGCCATTCTCTCAACCAGCTTCACCTGGAATGCTTTTCCAACAGTCAAGGAGTTCCCACATATGCTGAGCACTTGTTGTCATATCATTGCAGAATGCTGTGCTAGCCATGCTGGTTAAGTGTGCCTTGAATTCTAATTAAATCACAGACTGTGTCACCAGCAAAGCACCCCCACACCATAACACCTCCTCCTCCATGCTTTACGGTGGGAAATACACATGCGGAAATCATCCGTTCCCCCACACCGCGTCTCACAAAGCAACTGCGGTTGGAATCAGAAATCTCAAATTTGGATTCATCAGACCAAAGGACACATTTCCGCTGGTCTAATGTCCATTGCTCGTGTTTCTTGGCCTAAGCAAGTCTCTTCTTCTTATTGGTGTCCTTTAGTAGTGGTTTCTTTGCAGCAATTCAACCATGAAGGCCTGATTCACACAGTCTCCTCTGAACAGTTGATGTTGAGATGTGTCTGTTACTTGAACTCTGTGAAGCATTTATTTGGGCTGCAATTTCTGAGGCTGGTAACTCTAATGAACTTATCCTCTGCAGCAGAGGTAACTCTGGGTTTTCCATTCCTGTGGCGGTCCTCATGAGAGCCAGTTTTGTCATAGCGCTTGATGGTTTTTGTGACTGCACTTGAAGAAACTTTAAAGTTCTTTACATTTTCCGTATTGAATGACCTTTGTGTCTTAAAGTAATGATGGACTGTTGTTTCTCTTTGCTTATTTGGGCTGTTCTTGCCATAATATGGACTTGGTCTTTTACCAAATAGGGCTATCTTCTGTATACCCCCCCTACCTTGTCACAACACAACTGATTTGCTCAAACACATTAAGAAGGAAAGAAATTCCACAAATAAGTTTTAAGAAGGCACACCTGTTAATTGAAATGCGTTCCAGGTGACTCTCTCATAAATCTGGTTGAGAGAATGCCAAGAGTGTGCAAAGCTGTCATCAAGGCAAAGGGGGGCTATTTGAAGAATCTCAAATATAAAATATTTGTTAAACACTGTTTTGGTTACTACATGATTCCATATGTGTTCTTTCATAGTTTTGATGTCTTCATTATTATTCTACAATGTAAATAATAAAAAATTAACTTGAATGAGTAGGTGTGTCCAGACTTTTGACTGGTAATGTGTGTCCATAGTGTCCATGAGTTTCTTGTGGATAGACCATATGGTTGAAGAGAAAATAGCCTAATTAATGATTATTTTTTTTGTATCAACAATGGCATTCATTTTCAACTAACTCTTCAACTCTTCCAACTATAGACTTTTTTCACAACTACCACCAGTTTGGTGCCAAAACATTTACAACAGAGACATATTGATATAGTAAAATATCATATTAAACATAAATGGTATTCACTAAATTGGTTTGTATTTAGGATAATGTTTTACAACTTTGTCATTCTATTTTTTGTGTGAAAAAATATTTATTTTACATGTAAAAAGGCCACACAGAGGGAAATTGATAATTACAGACACCTGTGATAATCTGAAGTACCCAAAAAGGCTACTAGAAGTCTTGTGATAAATTACATAAAATCCTTGAAAGTTACAACAATTCTGATAGTTTACTGGTAAACTTCCAGTAATATACCGTCCCTTTGCATCCTAAATCACATGAAATAAATAATCATCTTCAGAAATGACTAGGGCTTTACAATGATGGTGATAACTTGGAGAAATGTTGGCGTAAAGTGGGTTAAAATCTTCCTAGAAGTGGTAAGAACATGATGAGGGACATTTTTGGCACTTTATCAAGTCTTTATTAAAAATCTGATTTATTTAATTTTCCTTGTGGTTCATATTAAAGGGCACTTCATTTAATATAACAGGCTTTTAAAATGTAATATTGGTGCACAACTTCTACTTAAAATATCAAAGGGACTCAAAAGGCAGTCAGTTCGTGGAATGACCCACATATCAGTATAGAAGCCATTGAAACCGTGACCCAAAAACTGAGGACTACGTGAATCGTTACACCCTAAAATGGTTTCTTTTTGTTTAAATGTTGTGCGTTGGTTTTTCGATCCAGGTGACTCATTGAATGTAGTTGAAGTATTTGACCCAATTGGAAATTGCTGGGAACGCTGTCAGCCAATGAGTACAGCGCGAAGTCGAGTGGGTGTGGCAGTTGTCAATGGGTTACTTTACGCAATCGGTGGATATGATGGACAGTCACGGCTAAGCACAGTGGAGGTCTATAACCCAGAAACGGATACTTGGACATGTGTTGCAAGCATGAACAGTCAACGCAGGTAAGAATGTATTTCCTAATTATGTACTAAGGGTTGTTTTATATTAATTCAATCACTTTTGACTGCACTCCTTTTGATTTAAAGGAAACTTTCCATAAATGTTTGTCCATGGTAGAAGTAGTCAGAAATTGACTTTTTGGACCTGAATACCAAAACATTCAGGAGATCGAGGTGCTCAAAGTTGACCAATTTTGCATACGCTACCATGAGAAATTCAAGTCTTTAATCACTGAAAAAGATACACGCTTCAGTTTGATATTATTTGAAAACTTACAAACAGGGTTGTCTAACTGGAAAAAAGGTATACCCAAACGCACTTCAGCCCAGCTTAAACGAAAAGTGGGGGATCAGACGCTCAACTGTGGGATTTGAAAATCCCCAAAACAATCCTTACCCCAGGATACTTCAACTGGTGACTATCCAGGAAAATAAAGAAAAAGGAGCTCTGTTGCTGGGTAGATCTGATATCTTTATTGACGGGAGAAACAAACAATAAGCTTACGTTTCGACATTAATCGCCTTGAATAGGAAAAGTGTGGGAGGCACTCGCAGGGGAGTGTCCCGCTAGTCATGTCAATCAAACATGTCAATACTGTCAGTAGTAGTAGCAACTACACAGGTTATTCAAACGAGTATGATCATCATTCAAGATTCCTACACATACATTCAACTTGAATAACAAAAGGCCGAGAAATAAACAAAGAAAAATGTACTTACAAAAAAGATGAGAACGAGAGCTGTTCATTCAGACTGCTTGTTCCACGCAATCTAAGCAGTCGATCCAAAGTGCCTCTCTCTTAACCATTTCCTCAACATATTGCCACCTCGGGAGGAAAGAGAAACTTTCTCAATATCCCAGAATTTCAAGGTAGAGGCTGAGCCGTGATTGGCCTTCATGTAATGCTGTACGATCACGTAGGGTTGTCTATCTATTTGATCTTTTCTCTTTTTTTTATTCTTTTTTTTTTTATAAACATGACAAAAAATGTACCTTTTAACATCCACTGAACAAAAATATAAATGCAACATGTAAAGTGTTTATGCCATGTTTCAAGAGCTGAAATAAAAGATCCCCAAAATGTTCCATACGCACAAAAAGCTTATTTATCTCAGACAGCTGGCATGCTGACTGCAGGGATGTCCACCAGAGCTGTTGCCAGAGAATTGATTGTTCATTTCTCTATCATAAGCCACCTCCAACGTCATTTTAGAGAATTTGGCATTACGTCCAACCGGCCTCACAACCGCAGACCACATGTAACCATGCCAGCCCAGGACCTCCACGTCCGGGTTTATTCACCTGCGGGATCGTCTGAGACCAGCCACCTGGACAGCTGATGAAACTGAGGAGTATTTCAGTCTGTAATAAAGCCATTTTGTGGGGGGGGGCAACTCCTTCTGATTGGCTGGGCCAGTCTCCCAAGTGGATGTGCCTATACCCTCCCAGGCCCATCCATGGCTGCGCCCCTGCCAAGTCAAGTAAAATCCATAGATTAGGGCCTAATTCATTCATTTCAATTGACTGATTTCCTTATATGAACTGTAACTCAGTAAAATGGTTTGAAATTGTTGCATGTTGGGTTTATATATTTGTTCAGTATAAAAAAATATAAATAAATATCAAGATATTATAAAACAGTTTTGAAACCCTGTTTTGAAGCTTTCAAATAACTGAACTGTTAATCTTTTTCAGTGATGCTGTCATGGATGTCTCATGGTATGGTGGGGTATGCAAAATGGGTCACCTTCGAGCACCTCTATCTCGTGAATGTTTTGGCATTCAGGTCCAAGATGTTACTTTCTGACCTAATCTACCACCGGTAACCATGTATGGAAGGTTTCATTCAAAGCAAAATGGGTGTGGTCAAGAAGTGATTGAATTCATATAGAACGACCAATTATTAAGTAGATACAGTATACTGATTACTTGTAGATGTACTGATAACCTGTAGATTTTGATAAGTTGTGGAGTAGGCTCCAAATGTACCCCATTTTATTTACCTAGTAGCTGATCGAGACATTCTAAAATGCTTAAAGGAGGATTGTCCCCATTTTTAACTTTGCACTAAAGTGTGGTGGTCCTCTCAAAATGTTAAAACTGTGCAGGGTTCAAAAACTTTTTCTCAGCACTCTATACAGTAATAAGGGATACAGATGAAAAGGATTATCTCTTTGGCTGTTTCCTCTCTGTGAGGAATTTTGTAAGTTGTTTAAGACATATTTTCAGAATGAATGGCTGGGGCCCTATGGTAATGCTGACAAAATACAATATCACTATCAAATACTGAAGGAAGCAAAATGTGTATCCAAAAAACGTAGGAGATTGACAACAGCCATGGTAAGTAGAAAAAAAAATGCAGTTAAGTTGTATTTTGAGTGGAACATCCCTTTAATGGCCATGGTAATAGGAAGAGAGCAAAATATTTATAAATGTAGCCAATTAGGGGTGGCCAATCCTCTTCATGTTCCAGCCCTGTTCTAAAACACCTGATTCAGCTAATCAGGGCCCTGATAAGAACCTGTAGTAGAATCAGGCGTTAGGGCAGGGCTGGAGCAGCTACACTACTGCAAACCCAGCAGCTCTTCCGGCAGAGGGTTTGCCACCCCTGTTGTACAAATACATTAATATTGGAACGCTTTAAAGGAGAGTTCAGTGATTTTGCATATTTAGATAGTTGTTTCTGCTTTGAAAGCAGTCAATGGACTAGTTTAACAAAACACTTCAGTCGTGTTCCAGGCAAACTATATTGGAGTCATTTCATTAATCAATGGTTTTGTGCTACGTCGTCAACTGCACACTCTGAGGCATAAGATTGCTGTATCATATGACGTTAGCTGATGTGATAAACACTGTCCAGGCGTTGTGAGATCTGGCATGTGTTTGCAATGTAGTCAGCCTGGAACGCAGCCTTTGGTTTTGTGAAACAAGCCACTGCTCACAAATGCTTATACTTGCATTTTGGGACAAATTCCTCATCTAAGTCAATCTATTAAATTAATAGGTTTACAACTATTTGGAGAGGAATCAGGCATGCAATTTAAAACATACTAAATAGGAGTAATCGACAGGGATTGTGGTCCCAGAATGCTTTTTTATTAGCATATGTTGGCATTGGCTAGTTTTTCAAAACCAGATTGCAGTCACTCTTTGTCCATAGACTGCATTCAAACATGTAAATGAATTATCCCCAAAATCCAAAAATGAAAACTTGTCACAGGTGTCGAACAGCTACTATTGTGAAAGTTATACACACCCTATTTTAGTAATGGACCATACAACTCGACTTGGTGTGCTTGAACGGCATCTCATACAGGAATCAAATAAGCCCTGAGGAAAGTATAGACATACAGTAGCAGTCAAGAGTTTGGACACACCTACTAATTCCAGGGTTTTTCTTTATTTTTACTATTTTCTACATTGTAGAATAATAGTGAAGACATCAAAACTATGAAATAACACATATGGAATCATGTAGTAACCAAAAAAGTGTTAAACAAATCAAAATATATTTTATATTTGAGATTCTTCAAAGTACCCACCCTTTGCCTTGATGGCAGCTTTGAACATTCATGGCATTCTCTCAACCAGCTTTTTGAGGTAGTCACCTGGAATGCATTTCAATTAACAGGTGTGCCTTGTTAAAAGTTAATTTGTGGAATTTCATTATTTCTTAATGCGTTTGAGCCAATCAGTTGTGTTGTGACAAGGTAGGGTTGGTATACAGAATATAGTCCTATTTGGTGAAAGACCAAGTCCATATAATGGCAAGAACAGCTCAAATAAGCAAAGAGAAACGACTGTCCATCATTACTTTAAGACATGAAGGTCAGTCAATCCGGAAAATTTCAAGAACTTTGAACGTTTCTTCAAGTGCAGTCGCAAAAACCATCAAGCGCTATGATGAAACTGGCTCTCATGAGGACCGCCACAGGAATGGAAGACCCAGAGTTACCTCTGCTGCAGAGGATAAGTTAATTAGAGTTACCAGGCTCAGAAATTGCAGTCCAAATAAATGCTTCACAGAGTTCAAGTAACAGACACATCTCAACATTAACTGTTCAGAGGAGACTGTGTGAATCAGGCCTTCATGGTTGAATTGCTGCAAAGAAACCACTACTAAAGGAGACCAATAAGAAGAAGAGACTTGCTTGGGCCAGGAAACACGAGCAATGGACATTAGACCGGTGGAAATGTGTCCTTTGGTCTGATGAGTCCAAATTTGAGATTTTTGGTTCCAACCGCTGTGTCTTTGTGAGACGCATAGTAGGTGAACGGATGATCTCTGCATGTGTGGTTCCCACTGTGAAGCATGAGGAGGAGGTGTGATGGCGTGGGGGTGCTTTGCTGGTGACACTGTCTGTGATTTATTTAGAATTCAAGGCACACTTAACCAGCATGGCTACCACAGCATTCTGCAGCGATACGCCATCCCATCTGGTTTGGGCTTAGTGGGACTATCATTTGTTTTTCAACAGGACATTGACCCAACACACCTCCAGGCTGTGTAAGGGCTATTTGACCAAGAAGGAGAGTGATGGAGTGCTGCATCAGATGACCTGGGCTCCACAATCACCTGACTTCAACCCAATTGAGACGGTTTGGGATAAGTTTGACCGCAGAGTGAAGGAAAAGCAGCCAACAAGTGCTCAGCATATGTGGGTACTCCTTCAAGACTGTTGGAAAAGCATTCCAGGTGATGCTGGTTGAGAGAATGCCAAGTGTGCAAAGTTGTCATCAAGGCAAAGGGTGGCTTCTTTGAAGAATGTTACTACATGATTCCATATGTGTTATATCATAGTTTTGATATCTTCACTATTATTCTACGATGTAGAAAATAGTAAAAACAAAGAAAAACCCTTGAATGAGTAGGTGTGTCCAAACTTTAGACTGGTACTGTATATTCTATGATTTTTATACACCATTGCCGAAAACCCTAGTTAAATGGACAGGATCCAGTTGTATTTATCCTCTTTCCCCTTTCCCCATCTCTCCGAATGCAGTGCAATGGGAACAGTGGTGGTGGACGGCCATATATATGTGTGCGGGGGCTATGATGGCAAATCCTCTCTCAACTCAGTAGAGTGCTACTCTCCAGAAGCCAACAGGTTCTGTACATTTCCTATGTGATTACTTTACTTTGACTCCCTGAATTCCAAGTCAACCTAGACCAGAGGGTATACTACGTACCTGGTTTGAGGAGTTAGTGACGTAACTTTGGTCAACTTGGGATAACCGGTACCATGAAAGTGGCTCACCTTTTAGCCAGGGACATTTCTATGGCAACAAATGCTTCAGAACTAACCTACTCCGGGGCTCCATTTATCCTGAATGATTTCTGAGCCGCGAGTTGATGACCAATTAAATCAGATTCCCTCCCTCTCGCAAACATTGCGTCATTATCCCCTTCATTTGAGGAAGACGCTCGTTTAAATATTTTATTAATGAAATATTTTCTGTGTTAATAAATTGTAATTCAAATACCTATCACATCACATATTAAGTAATGACAGTATGCATTTGAAAGTTCACACGCAGTAATACTTTTGTATGACGTTCTAAAATGATGTGATCTATAGGAGTGGGGAAAAAGGTGCTGTGTGCATTGATAAGTACATTTTAATAGGCCTCCATTTGAGTGTCACTGACCCTTACTCCCTTTGTACTTCTGGAGATCTGTGAGGATTGGATAGGTGTCTGCAATACTGCAACAATTCCCTGTTGAAGGACAAGATGGAGCTACTACCACATTTGACCCAAGGCTTTGACCCTTGATTGACAATGGTGATGTAATCTTACACTGAGTGTACAAAACATTAGGAATACTTAATATTAGGAACACCTAATATTGAGTTGCACCCCCTTTTGCCCTCAGAACAGCCTCAATTCTTTGGGGCATGGACTCTAGAAGGTGTTGAAAGCGCTCCACAGGGAGGCTGGACCATGTTGACTCCAATGTTTCCCACAGTTGTGTCAACTTGGCTGGATGTCCTTTCAGTGGTGGACCATTATTGATACACATGGGAAACTGTTGAGCGTGAAAAACCCAGCAGCGTTGCAGGTCTTGACACAAACCGGTGCGCCTGGCACCTACTACCATACCCCGTTCAAAGGCACTTCAATAATTTGTCTTGCCCATTCACTCTGAATGGCACACATACACAATCCATGTCTAAATTGTATCAAGGCTTAAAAATCTTTCTTTAACCTGTCTCCTCCCCTTCATCTACACTGATTGAAGTGGATTTAACAGGTGCCATCCATAAGGGATCATAGCTTTCACCTGGATTCACCTGGTCAGTCTGTCATGGAAAGAGCAGGTGGTCTTAATGTTTTCTACACTCCGTGTAAATGCATGCTCCAACCTCCACATTCATATTTTGCGGAAGTCGGCCCAATACTGCTGTTTACTTAATGCATTGCCGAGTCTACCTTTAATTCTGAGCTTGGTTTTGGTGGAATGTAAACGTTTATATTTTTTTATATTTTTATTGCTAATGTCGTATTTTGTAACATGAATTTTGTGTGTTTCTGCTGTGTTTTACTTGCTTACACTTATCCAATCCTATCCTATCCAAAACCATTACTTTAGATCATATAACATCAATCAAGTATGTAAAACTATTTTCCGTATGTATCCAGGAAATAGAATTGCTTAATTTCAATTGTTGTCTTTAATAATTACACAGTTGTTGCAAATCAAAATGTTGTTACAGTATGACTTTTTATATTAAGTGAAAAAGTATAGCCCATCTGTATCAACATTAAAGTGCAGCTGCTTTTCCTTATACACTTGTGCAGGTGGACAGTAATGACAGAGATGAGTGCAAGTCGCAGTGCAGCTGGGGTCACTGTTTTTGATGGAAGGATTTTTGTATCTGGTGGTCATGACGGTTTACAGATCTTCAATACGGTAAGGATGCCATTTGACATACACATTGCTGACAGGACTAAGGGAGAGTTCATCAGGAGAGATATTATGAATTTCACAGTACAGTGGTCCTAAAAATGAGAGGATTAGGTCTATTAGGCACTATTTGCAGGTGGAAAATGTGACACGTATGGCCTCTTTAAATCAAAAAAAGTATTATATGTTTTTCTTCAGATCTACACAACCTACTCCACATTTGAAAATGAAAAAAAAAAAAAAAAATTGATTACAATGTAAGGTCATCGCACCCCTTGCTGTGGTACATCTTAAGTTCAGGAACAAACATTTTCCTAAAATATGAGTGGTCTAGTCTCAGCCCTGACTTTAAATCAGGTTGAAAATCAAACACAAGACTTACATATTGCAGTCCATCAATGATTCCCAACCAATTTGACTGAGCTTGAGCAATTTTGCTGAGAATAATGGGGAGATGTTGCTCCAAGAGTTGTGCAATATTGGTGGAAACTAATAAAAAACTATTCACCGCTGCATTTGCTGCCAAAGGTGCTTCCACTAAGTATTAACTATGGGGTGTAAAGATGCTACGCAATCAATATAAAAATAAAAAATTATACCTTTTTTCTTGACATTTTAAAGTGTGCAGTAGGTTGTCGATCAGTGGGGAAAAATCCCAATTTATGCATTTCTAGATTTTTAAATGAAGGGAGCAAAATATGAAAACTGTGCGAAAGGTTTGGAGACTTTCACTAGGCACTATATATACGCCTCTCCCCATCAGAGACTGGGATTCAATCCCCACTCCCCTCTCCAAACCCTTCAATACCCACTCCCCTCTCCAAACCCTTCAATACCCACTCCCCTCTCCAAACCCTTCAAATACCCACTCCACCTCTCCAAACCCTGCAATATCCCCAAACTACCCTCTCCAACCCCTTCAATACTCCACTACCCCTCTCCCCAAACACCTCAATACCCACTCCCCTCTCCAAACCCTTCAATACCCACTCCCCTCTCCAAACCCTTCAATACCCACTCCCCTCTCCAAACCCTTCAATACCCACTCCCCTCTCCAAACCCTTCAATACCCACTCCCCTCTCCAAACCCTTCAATGCACACTCCCCTCTCCAAACCCTTCAATACCCACTCCCCTCTCCAAACCCTTCAATACCCACTCCGAGCTCCAAACCCTTCAATCAACGCTCCAAACCCTTCAATCACCACTCCAAACCCTTCAATGCCGCTCCTAACCCGTCAATCCCTGCTCCCTGCTCCTAACCCTTAATCCCCACTCCCCGCTCCAAACGCTTCACTCCCCGCTCCAAAGCCTTCATTCCTCACTCTCCGCTCCAAACCCTTCAATCCCCGCTCCAAACCCTTCAATCCCCGCTCCAAACCCTTCAATCCCCGCTCCAAACCCTTCAATCCCCGCTCCAAACCCTTCAATCCCCGCTCAAAACCCTTCAATCCCCGTTCCAAACCTGTCAATCCCTGCTCCCTGCTCAAAACCCTTAATCCCCGCTCCAAACCCTTCACTTCCTGCTCCAAACCCTTCATTCCCCACTCTCCGATCCAAACCCTTCAATCCCCGCTCCAAACCCTTCACTCCCCGCTCCAAACCCTTCAATCCCCACTCCCCGCTCCAAACCCTTAATTCCCCGCTCCATACTTTTCAATCCAAACTCTCCGCTCCAAACTCTTCAATCCAGCTGCAAAATCTTAAATCCCACTCTCCACTCCAAACCTTTCAATCCCCGCTCCAAACCCTTCAATTCCCGCTCCAAACACTTAAATCACCGCTCCATACCCTTTAATCCCCACTCTCCACTCTAAACCCTTCAATCCACACTCCCTGCCACAAACCCTTCAATCCCCTCTCCAAAACCTTTAATCCCCTATCCCCACTCCAAACCTGTCAATTCCCGTTCCAAACCCTTCAATCCCCACTCTCTGCTCCAAACCTTTGAATCTCTACCCCCAAACATTTAAATATCCACTCTCCGCCCCAAACCCTTCAATCCCCGCTACAAACCCTTCACTCCCCGCTCCAAACCCTTCTATCCCAACTCTCCACTCCAAACCCTTCAATCCCCACTCTCCTCTCCAAACCCTTCACTCCCCATTCCAAACCCTTCAATCCCCGCTCCAAACCCTTCAATCTCTGCTCCAAACTCTTCAATCTCCGCTCCAAACTCTTCAATCCCCACGCTCCGCTCCAAACCCTTCAATCCCCACGCTCCGCTCCAAACCCTTCAATCCCCACGCTCCGCTCCAAACCCTTCAATCCCCACGCTCCGCTCCAAACCCTTCAATCCCCAATCCCCACTACAAACCCTTCAATACCCACTCCCCTCTGCACACACTTCAATCTCTGCTCCAAACTCTTCAATCCCCACGCTACGCTCCAAACCCTTCAATCCCCATGCTACGTTCCAAACCCTTCAATCCCCATGCTCCGTTCCAAACCCTTCAATCCCCACGCTCCGCTCCAAACCCTTCAATCCCCACTCTCCTCTCCAAACCCGTCAATCCCCAATCCCGGCTACAAACCCTTCAATACCCACTCCCATCTGAACACACTTCATTCCCTGCTCCAAACTCTTCAATACCCACTCCCCTCTGCAAACCCTCCAATCCCCGCTCCAAATCCTTCAATCCCCTTCCCCTTCACCTCTCCAAACCCTTCAATCCCAACTCTCCACTCCAAACCCTTCAATCCCCACTCTCCTCTCAAAACCCTTCAATCCCCACTCCCAACTACAAACCCTTCACTCCCCATTCCAAACCCTTCAATCTCCGCTCCAAACTCTTCAATCCCCACGCTACGCTCCAAACCCTTCAATCCCCATGCTACGCTCCAAACCCTTCAATCCCCTTTCCAAACCCTTCAATCTCCACTCCAAACTCTTCAATCCCCACGATACTCTCCAAACTCTTCAATCCCCATGCTACGCTCCAAACCCTTCAATCCCCATGCTCCGCTCCAAACCCTTCAATCCCCACTCTCCTCTCCAAAACCTTCAATCCCCACTCTCCTCTCAAAACCCTTCAATCCCCACTCCCCGCTACAAACCCTTCACTCCCCATTCCAAACCCTTCAATCTCCGCTCCAAACTCTTCAATCCCCACGCTACGCTCCAACCCTTCAATCCCCATGCTACGCTCCAAACCCTTCAATCCCCATGCTCCGCTCCAAACCCTTCAACCCCCACGCTCCGCTCCAAACTCTTCAATCCCCACTCTCCTCTCCAAACACTTCAATCCCCAATCCCCGCTACAAACCCTTCAATACCCACTCCCCTCTGCACACACTTCATTCCCCGCTCCAAACTCTTCAATACCCACACCCCTCTGCACACACTTCAATCCCCGCTCCAAATCCTTCAATCCCCTTCCCCTTAACCTCTCCAAACCCTTCAATCCCAACTCTCCACTCCAAACCCTTCAATCTCCACTCTCCTCTCAAAACCCTTCAATCCCCACTCCCCGCTACAAACCCTTCACTCCCCATTCCAAACCCTTCAATCTCCGCTCCAAACTCTTCAATCCCCACGCTACGCTCCAAACCCTTAAATCCCCATGCTACACTCCAAACCCTTCAATCCCCATGCTTCGCTCCAAACCCTTCAATCCCCACGCTCCGCTCCAAACCCTTCAATCCCCACTCTCCTCTCCAAACCCTTCAATCCCCGCTACAAACCCTTCAATCCCCGCTCCAAACCCTTCATTCCCCGCTCCAAACCATTCAATCCCCGCGCCAAACCCTTCAATCCCCGCTCCCGCTCCACACCCTTCAAATCCCACTCCCCACTCCAAACCTTTCAATCACCTCTCAAACCCTTCAATTTTTGCTCCAAACCCTTCAATTCCCACTCTCCGCTCCAAACCTTTCAATCTCCACTCTCTGCTCCAAACCCTTCAATCCCCGCTCCAAACCCTTCAATCACCGCTCCAAACCCTTCAATCCCCACTCTCCTCTGCAAACCCTTCAATCCCCGCTCCAAACTCTTCAGTACCCGCTCCAACCCCTTTAATACCTGCTCCATACCCTTCAATCCCCACTCTCCACTCCAAACCTTTCAATCCCCTCTCCCCGTTCAAAACCCTCCCCGCTCCCCTTTCCAAACCCTTCAATCCATCTGTCCTCTCCAAACCATACAATCCCCTCTCCAAACCCTTCAATCTTCTCTCCCCGCTCCCCGCTCCCCTCTCCAAACCTTTCAATCTCCACTCTCCGCCCCAAACCCTTCAATCCCCGCTCTAAACCCTTCACTCCCCACTCCAAACCCTTCAAGCCCCACTCTCCTCTCAAACCCGTCGATCCCAACTCCCCGCTACAAACCCTTCACTCGCCATTCCAAAACCTTCAATCCCTGCTCTAAACCCTTCATTCCCCACTCCAAACCCTTCAATCCCCACTTCCCACTACAAACCCTTCAATCCCCGCTCCAACCCTTTCAATCCCCGCTCCAAACCGTCAAACCTCTCTTCAATCCCCGCTCCCCACTCCGAACCCTTCAATTTCCTCTCTCCGCGCCAAACCCTTCAATCCCCACTCCAAACGCTTCAATCCCTGCTCCAAACCCTTCAATCCCCACTCTCCGCTCCAAACCCTTAGCGAACAGGATGCTAAGACTCGCTCCAAACCCTTCAATCCCCATTCCCTGCTCCAAATCCTTCAAACCTCGCTCCATACCCTTCAATCCCCATTCTCTGATCTAAACCCATCAATCCCCACTCCCTGACACAAACCCTTCAATCTCCACTCACCGCTCCAAACCCTTAGCGAACAGGACGCTAAGACTTGCTCCAAACCATTCAATCCCCTCTTCAATCCACAGTCCATAACCTTCCATCTCACTCTCCGCTCCAAACTCTTCAATCCCCGCTCCAAACCCTGCAATCCCCACTCTCCTCTCCAAAACCATCAAACCCCACTCCCGCTACAAACCCTTCACTCACCATTCCAAACCCTTCAATCCCGCTCCAAACCCTTCAATCCCCGCTCTACACCCTTCAA